ATTCTCTGAAATGTTCAAAGCCATATGCCTTTATGTACAAACTCAAAGACCCATAAAATTACTAAGACATATTTAAGCTCAAAAGTGGGGCATGATGGCATATGCCTGTAATCCCAGCACTCAGGAGGCTGAGGCAGGAGGACTGGAGTAAGTTCAAAGCCAGCCTTTGCTACATAGTGAGTTTAAGACCAGCCTGAACTACGTAGTGAGACCCAAATGAGACTCCAAACAAACAAATAAAGTGTTTTAATAATAGCAAAATATTAGAGAAGACTAATGTTAAAGAAAATGTTCAGTACACAACTAGAAATCTCCATTGGCTTGTGCTTTGGGAGGCTAAGGCAGGAGGATGGAAAGCTCCTTCAAGGCTGTGTGACTTACCTACTTAGCAAGAACCTGCATCAAAATAAAAAATAAAAAAGAGGGCTGGAGATGAAGGCCACTGAGAAGAGCCCAATACCACAAAAGAAAGAGAGAAATAGAAAAAGTCTATTTCACTAGATCTTTTCCTTTCTTCACAACTTAGTTTGTCACCTTCACACAGTCGCACCTCACCTTGTGCAATTATTAGTGACCAGATGCTCAAGATAGGAGCTAGGGCTTCCACAATCGCCACCTGGTTTGTTCTCTGTGTGACTCAGTACTCAATACTCTGGTCTCTAAGTAAGCTTACTGCAGTCTTTACAAGGGAAAATTGTCATAATAAACATAATAGCTTAGAAAAATTAAAGCTCTTATTTCATAATCTGACTTTCCAATCTTTATCTCAAATTTAGAACTATCACATTATTATTTGCTTTTGTTTTTATTAAGTTTAGTAGAAGCAAGGGCTGGCCAGATAGCTCAGGGGACTGAAGCGCCTGCTAAGGCAGAGCACAGGGACTGGGGTTTGATCCCTGGCACCAGAAGCCCTGCCAGCCCTGCCCCCAGGGTGCACTCAGCCACCAGTTGAGACTGGGTGTGGTGGCACGAGCCTATAATCCCAGTGCTTGGGAGGCTGAAAACAGGAAGATCAGTATGAGTCCAATCTACATAGTAAGATCCTATAGACCCTGTACTAAATACATTAAAAAAAAAAAAAGTTTGGTAGAAACAAAGTTGAAATAGTTTGCTCTGATAGAACATTATGAAAATAAAAAATTGAATGGATACCTATGAGAATGTAAACAATTGGCCTCCCTTCTCCTTGACAGTAGGCCATGATGCTCAGGTGCTGGTTGTTCACACTGTTACTGACATGAGAACAAGTGCTTCCTTAAGATATTACGAGATATAATTTTCCTGTCTATTTGGAAAATTGCGTAGTACACATGAAGGAGCCACATTACACTAAGCCGAGTCAGATGGTTCTTGAGTGCCAGCTCCACGCTGGGGCTCGTAGGCAGGGCCCTGCAGCCTTTATCTCTCAGAATAATCACAGCACTCCAGAGGATACTTGCAGGTCTTGGCAATTCCCCCCACAGCTTCCCTGGAAGCCTAAAAAGTAGCAAATGTCCTTGTGACTCAAGTTGTCCCAAGTTCACTGCTGTAGATTTGTGAACTCTGAGGTTTCTTGGAGTCAGATCAGTCCTTTGAAAAACTGAGATATTGGTGAGGCAGCTCTCATTCCCTGCAGAGTCTACATTGTGAGTTTATCTCCATGCTAAAGCTTGTTGGTATCCTGAAAGTCAATGCTCGGGTTGCTTTTGTCATCATTGATGGACAAAATGCAAAGTGGAAAACAATTTGCTTCTCCCCAGCTCGTGTGTCCAGCTGAGATGGAGCAGGCAGATCTTTACCTGCTTGCTTGAGCCTTAGACTGAATTAATATTCTTTTTGTGGTATATTGAGTGCCATCTTTTTTTATACTTTCCTTTGGTGATTTTAATGTTCAAAATGATCCCTAAAGAGTACTGAAGTGGTTTCTAGTGTATACAAGAAAGTGAACGTATTATGTGTGTTGTTCAGGTATGAGTTTACACCATAGTTCTGTTTGCTACAGATTAAAAGTTAATGAATCAATGTTTTATATTTTCAAAAGCTGTCTTTAAATAAAGTATACATAAGTTTCTGTAAATTGCTTGGCTGATTAAAAATATGTAACCAGAGGCTCACAGAAAACAAACCTGGATTTTTCTTTAGAGGCAGTAGTTGGGTATCCCTACTTTGGTGTTCACAATAACTTTACAGAACACAGATACTTCAGGTAACAACTAAGTCACCATGGCTCTTGGTTTTCTTCACTCTCATTCAACGTCAGTTATTAGGAACATAGTGTTGATTTGAGAGTAGGACATTAATGAATGACCTTGTATACCAAGTTTTAAACTAATGGGAAATTTTATGAAGAATAATAAAGGCCTGGAAGTAAAACTTATTAATGGGTTCTGATGCATCTTAACTCTTCAGAGGAAATGACTGCAGTATAATCTCACTAGTGCTCAGCAACATTCAGTCATTATTTCCTGACTTGAAATATGATGTCTTCTTATATGGAAAGACATTTGAGTATTTCTGACTTACTGGGTGTTAAAAACTGTTCATAAGGTATACAATTATATAGGGTTCAAACTGATTCTGTTGAACAGTTCGGTTTAAATCATGTTAATAAAGCACCTGAGGTTCCAAGCCATCTCCCTTATGAGCTCTCACATGAGGAGTTAGTTTATTCAAATTAATTATTGTATTAAGCACAGCAAGATTTCCCAAGATTGAAATTTTACTGTATAATAACTTTACTAATAACGATTAAATCTATAATACAGAAAGTTCCAACCTGGCCCCATTCCTTTGCAGTAAATATAAAAATTACTTCAAGGAACTCTTATTTATCTCATTTAGAATCTTTTTAACAGAAAGTCATATTTAAATACTTTCCATAATTATTTAAATACTTATCAAAATAAGTCCCTTCCTATGAGAACTTAAGCTCTATCGGGTGGGCTTAGTATTTTTCCAGTGATAATGAACCAGTAATAATTTGTTTAGGTTTCACTTATTTAATTTTCAAATATGTAGTGTGCCTTTATTTCTAAGAGAAGATTAATTTATCTTTTGTATACTAGGTGGTTCCTCATGAACTAGTAGTTTGGCAGTTCAGAGAAGGACCGCAAATACAATTAGTTAATATAGGCAAGGCTTTATGCAATGCTACACTGTACATTATGTACTTACTTGGCCTTATATTTTCCCCAATTCTGACAGTAACAATACACATTATTTATTATTATTATTCCATTTTTCAGATGAAGGCACTGAGGTTCCCAAGACCTGAATCTTTGTCCACAGCACATAGAAAGCTAATACAGGTTATAACAAAAAAAAAAAAAATTCAAACTAAGTCTGTGAAACTATTCACATTCTGTTTTCTGGTACATTCTAAGTTAATCCATCAATAAAATTATAAACTAATATTAAATTATTACAAATATATGAATTTAATTGCAAATTTAACACACAACAGAGAATTTTTATTTCATCACTGAAGGCTAAAAAGCAGATTTAATGAATGATTAGCCATCCTTGTTTAGATCAGCGTTGATGAAAATGCCATGCTAATCTATTAATCTCTTCCTAAATATTTCTACCATAAAAAAACCACAGGAACATACTTTCGCCAAAAATTTATGACATGTTTTTGAACCCAGAGAAGTGGTTTTAAGTGGGATTCATGTACTCTTGACAGTTTGGAAATTAAACATGCTTTCCAGGTAATATTTTAAGGGGAATAGAAGTAAATTCTGAGTGATAGGTGTCAAAAAGTTTGTAATTCACAGTACCATTTAGTAATATTTTCTCATAAACCACAGCCTCTTTAGTTCAAAGAATTTTGGAATTCTTATAGAACCAAACAGAATCTTTGTATTGCATCTCCCTAACCCAGGAAGATAGCTTACTCTATATAGACATATAACTCATATCGAAAAAGTTCACCTTTGAAAGAGTTTAAATCAATTGTTTTTCAGGGAGGCACAGTTTGTGCTATAGTCATTACTGTCTTTGGAGAAACTGTTCATCTCTCTCAAGGGAAACCCCGTCCCCGCTAGCACTACCTCCCCATTCACATTCCTTCTATCCACTAGAAATCACCAGTCTACATATTTCCTTCTCTATAGATTTTTTATGTCTTCTTTTTTAATTTAATTTTATTTTGAAAAGTTAAAGCAAAGCAAGAACAAAAATCAGAGGGAAAGAAAGAAATAGGGCAACATACAACAATACATATGTTACAGATTTTCAAACCAAGAATAGCTGATTAACAGTGGTTGGTATATTATGTATTTTATCATCACATCTGTTGCTCAGATTAACAGATATAGTTATGTGAGATTGTGGCCTGTGTATGTGGAATCATGCAATATATGGCCTTGTCTTTTTTCACTCAGCACAGTATTTCTAAGACTCATCCATGTTGTCACATGTCCGTACTTCATTCCTTTTCATGTCTGGGTAGTATTTCATTGCATGGACATACCACATTTGACAGATGAGGGGTGTGTAGGTCTGCTTCTATATTTACTATCATGAATATTGCTGCTAAAAGGCTCCCGTGCAAGTTTTTCTGTGGATACATGTTATTAATGAACTTCGATAGATAGCTTAGGCAGTTTCTTCCATTTTTCATTAGTTTTTCCCAGCATTAAGAAAAAGGGGATACAAAGGAAGGACCATTTTGTATTTGTATATACAGAATAGTTGGGCTAGATATACAACAACTTTCACTTAATTCAATGAGGAGAAAGATTTGTAGTAATAGTGTTTGGACAGGATATTCTATCTGCATCTTGTACTATGGATAACCACTAATAAGATAACAATGTACAGTGTATTAATTATTGAAAATGTCCTATTAATCAGCTTTGAAATTGTTTCATTAATATTTGTTTCTCAATAAAACAAAATAAAAAAAAAGAATGCTCACTATGATAGAACTCTTCCCTGCTCCCCCAGAGCTGGATCATCACAGATAGCCACATTTCAGGAAATGAGGACCTGAACTTCATTTGCTTGTCATTTTCCAGAGCCACCCATTGGACAGATGCACCCTCCGCATGGCAGTGTCACACCTCAGAAGAACAGCAGCCTGCTTGTGATCATTGTGGTCACTGTTGGTGTCCTCACCGTGCTGGTTGTGGTGATCATGGCAGTTATTTGCACCCGACGCTCTTCAGCTCAACAGAGAAAGTAAGTAACAGTTGACTCCTCAAATGAAAAAGAAGTCCTCCTGCTTTTGCTTTGTCTTTTTGACAGATTTCTTCCTGTGTTGTTCCATAATTTACCATGTTCCTTATCTCTTGACCTTGGCAAGCCTTGCTTTTTATCTGTTGCAGACCTGTAACTAAGTAATGGATAGACTAAAAAATTTAACAGCATCCCTGGAGATCCACTTGCATGTCTGTTTGTTTTTACTTCTCAGGGTCAGATTCCTCTTTTCAGGCAAGGGCAGGTATTCTTTAAGTAATGTTCAGAAGATGTGCTCATGCCCCTGACCCTCTCTGCAATCATGCATAGGCAGCTGGAGATAGTGTTCCTCTGTCAGTACTTATTTATCACTTTTGACAGGAAGGCCTGTAGGCACTTCATCAATGCTTTTTGAATGGGTGACTAGATATAAAATTCTAAGCTCAATGTCATTACAGTCCTATATGGTACGTAGCTTGCAGGCAGTAATAAAAAAATAGAAATTCTGGAGCTTTGAATGGATTCCTATTTCCTATGGTTGTCAGATATTAAAACTGTGGAAGAGTTTAAAATACTTTCATATCAACATATCTCCATGTTCAAGCATATGCAGAAAATGGTACATCGAAATGCAATGTTTAGGATGACAATTTGGTTTTTACTTTGCTCATCTTCTGCAGAAACATCTATGACCAGCATGTTTGTTCTGTAATAATTAGCTGGTTCTTGAAATCAGCAATAATCCCCTAGCCATTCTTTGTTTCTAAGAACCAACAATCCTCTCATATCATGAGTCCTCCACCAGTCCTCCTCGAATATGCTAATATTTTTAAACAGTACTCTCTGTGTTGACTATTATTTTTACATCAGGTATGTTATTTCTCTGAAAGCCTGAGGGTGGGTCCAGAGACGGCTGCTGTGACAACTACAGACTACATTAGTTGTGAGACAAAAATTCTTCAATAAGCAATAGCCTTTTATTGTTAAATGCTCAAAATCCCTCTCTTTTACAAATACGGTAACTCTATTTATTGATCTCGCACACACTTCCCAATGCTCTGAAGTATTCAGAAACAGAACAGGAAAGATTTATTTGTTGAAGAAAGTGAAAAAAGATTTAGAGGAAGCCCTTGTGTTTATTTCTGTGGCAGGGCAACTTTTGTTTTTGAGGTTGTATTAGACCACTACAGTAGCACAGTTGGTGAATGTGCAGAACTTATAGAGATTGCAGTATTTGGAATCTGTCAGTAGCTAGTGTGCTGAATCATTGTACCCAGACAAGAGGCCTGGTAGAATGAGCCGAGTGAGCCTAGCATCTTATGTAACCCATCTGGAAAGCCAGTATAGCTAACAGTGCTTCTGGAGTGCCGGGTCCTAATAACGATTCAGGGAGCATCTTAGTCTGTTGTCTGTTGCTATAACAAAATACTCAAAGCTGGATAATATATAGAAAATAGAGCTTCTTTTTGACTCAAGATTCTGGAATTTAAGGAACATGGCTCCTACATCTACAGTATTTCCTCCTGAAGGCCATCTGCTGCTACATTCATGGTACAAAAGCAGGTCAAGTGGACATGTTTGGAAGGGAGATAATGTAGCACAAGAGGAAGCATGATATGAGAGGTAGTCTCATTTTGGAACAACATCCTAGAAAGCTAATGAACCCAGTCCCATGAGAGAACTCATTTAGTCTACATGAAAAACTTCACCATTGTTGAACCCTTGTATTGCAGACCAAGCTGCAAAGTAAGACTTGATGGAGAGAAACCATATTCAAACCAGAGCAGTAAGGGAAGGAAAAAAGTACTTGGTCCAATATTCCTGAGGGAGGGGGGATGTGGAAAGAATAATGGACCATCAGGAACTAGGTCTCTGAAATGGATCGGAGAAAGATACACCACACAAAAGGGAGGAAACAGCCAAACTATACTTGGTCAAGCTCAACCGGAGCAATTTAGCAACTCACTGAGAATAGTCTCAAAATTTAAAAAAATGGGTGAATCAACAGCTCAGTGCAAAAGCCAGCTGCATGGTGAGACAGTTTACCTACTTTATAACTGTTTCCAAAACACTGATGTGTTCACTAAGCTAACTAAATTCACTATACCATCTGTACAGGTTCCTTTTTTAAATTTTTGTCTTCCCCCATTGCCATTATTGTGAAAAAGCTTAGGCAGTTACATAAATGAATGAATTAGATTCTTAGACAAATTTTGTTTTGCTACTGAGAAAATACCAGTCTTCTCAATGTTCAAAATTGGAATGCTGAGAAACTCTCCAATCACCAGCAATAATTCCCTTGATAAGATCTTTAGTAAAAACTTGAAGGTTTTAGTCATAGAAAAATTAGATGCTAAGCCCTGAGTATGACTTGTTTTTGAAAAATAAGGAATGAAGGAAAGAAGAAATGATTCTACATGTGGTGAAAAATCCATGAAAGTCCATTTCCTGATCATTTCATTTTTCTTAATGCTATCCCTGAATTTTCTTAATATTAACCCGATGTGCTTGCACACTTCATTTCACATCTTTCCTTGACCTTTAGCTTGCTCTCTTTGTTTGCATATGTCAAAAGAGATCAAGATAAAAGGAAAAAAATACCATCAAGTATCACTGAGGCATAGTTGAGTTTTTCTTGGTTTCATTGAGGACCCCTCCCCGCTACCCTTGCTACCGTTGAGTCCTTTCAAACAGATTGAGTGATGGCGATGAAAGTGGAATCAATTCCAATCTGAAATAGAAATAAGACCCCTTATAGAGCAAGCTCTCTAAAAATGGAGATTTTGATGTAATTAATAAGGAGAAGTTAGAAACACACTCAGGGCTTCTTTAATATCTCTTTGTCTGAGTCTTCTGATGAATTGAATTTCATCTCAGTGATTTGTCGGTGAACTTGAATTCGATCCAAGTGAATGGAAACATTTTCATGTCCTATCAGTAGGAATTTATTTGAGTGAATAGACATATAAAGCTTATCATTTTAAAAATTTGTACCAATATTTGATAATGATGTACTCTATCTGATTGATTAAAAGTATAGTGAGTGAGATTTAACTTCTGCATATAAAATAAGTAACAAACACTGGAAGCTAAGTTCCAGTTCTGGATCTACTACTTCTTTATTTAAACTAATTGTGCTGCTTAAGTGAAGACCTTTAATCCCTGGGTTTCAATTTTCAAATATAATGAGAATTAGAACCAAATACTTTCTTTCATCCCCTTCACCTTTAAAACCCAGAAGTCTCCTCATCCCACCCCTGCCAAATACTACTATAGTATAGATGCACATTATCATTTAGCTTTAAAGTAATATAAAATAAAAATAAAATTTAACATTTACTTTTACTTATTACAAGATTTTAGTTACTCTGAAAAGTTCCATTTATATGTTTTCAATTAGTAAGTTTAGAGTGAACTATTGAAGAATGGGCTGGCCAAATAGCTCAACGGACTAACGTGCCTGCTTAGGCAGAGTACAAGGATCAGGATTCAATCCCCAGCACAAAGTCATGCCAGCCCTGACCCAGGGCACGCTGAGATGGTGACTGAGACTTGGAGTGGTGGCACATGCCTGTAATCCCAGCACTCGGGAGGCTGAAATCAGAAGGATTACTAAGAGTCCAATATATGTAGTAAGACCCTGTGGACCCTGTACTAAATACATAGAGAAAAATAATGATAATATAGAAAAATTATGTTCTATGAAAACAAATTGATAGTTTTCTGTGCTCTAACATTTTTCTGATGAACACAAAGGTCATGTGTTATGTTAACTTAGAATCACTGTAGAGATAGACTAAAAATACTAGACTTTGAACATATCTTAGAAATTTAGAAAACATGGGTATTGCATTCAGATGGCAGTTACATGGTAGACAATTTACAACCTTTTCAGATCAAATGATGTTTTTATATTTAAACGTGTAAATAAAACACAAGGTTAGTTCATAAAAATCTCTCGTCCATCCTTCTATTTGATTTGTCATGTCCACATTCAAATTTTCCAAAGATAATTATTTTCAGTACAAATGATCAAATATTTAAGCTCTCAAATGAAATCTAAAGTATTTCAACTCTTGTAGGTTACTTTCAATGATTTTCAACTTTTTAATTTTTTTAGTATTTACTTCACAGGGATGTTGATTGGCAACTGCTTAAGACTTTAATGTATCTTAAATCCATCTAAAAAAAAATACAGATTTATTTTTTAGTATCAACAATTTTCCCTGAGTTTCTAACATAGGATTTTAGTTTATGTTTAATATTTATTAGTAGAGTAAAAATAATAAATATAAGCCATGGAGGAAGAGAAAATATTTCTACTACCCAGTGCATCTTTTACTACCAGATTATAATGCTTTCTATGCAAACTTTTGTGGCCCTCTAAGTCTTTCTCCCAGACCTGCAGGGCAAAGTGTTTCTGCCTCAGTCTGTATCAAATTTTAGGCAGATCTTTGACTGCTGGAATTAATGAAGAGCTATTTCTTTGTCTGTCTCTTAGGAACAACTTGAGCAGGGGATAGACAGGCACACAGAGAGCACTCTATCATCAATCAGAATGTGACAAAAGAATTGAACCATATTTTAGAACATCAGTGGACATCGTCTGGAATACTATAATGGACAGTTGACCAATGTCACTTGTAAGTCAAGAACATTCCAGACATACTGATTATAAAAAAAAGGAAAGATATTCCCTTTAAAGTAATAGGTTATTTGCAAAGTAAAGAAAATGTAGACCAGAAATCAACCAAATAAGTTTTCAAAAACTCAGAAATAGGGGCCAGGGAGATAGCTCAGTGTCCTAATGGCAAGCTCAAGATCCTGAGTGTTAGATCCCCAGTACAGGGCGTGAGAGGGGACACTCAGTAATAAAAATTTCTTCTTTTAAAATTCAAATAATCACTGAATGCATAGCATGTGGTTGACATCATACAAAGGAATAAGTTTTGTTAATGTTAACTCTTGAATTAAACATACTTCTGCATTCTTCACTGAGTTATTGATATTATTCTAGATGTTTTTGTTTGAAGCAAGGCCCCCATGGTTTGCTCCCCTTTTCTTTTCTCATCCTCCTTTCCACATTCCAGTTGCAAATTCCCTGATCCAACACTGCAGAAATTCCCACAAGCCATGCCACTTTAGTTCTGTTTTACGCTCCCAAATTATCACCCATATTTTCATTTTAAGTACATAGATTTCTTTACAGTCAGTATTCTAGAAATGTTCACTGAAAAGTCCTCTTGATTGTATAACATGAAATTCTGGACAATTTTGAACAAATGACAGAAATGGTTTTCCTCTCCTATGGCTGGCATGCCCCATTATCACAGAGGAGTTAGCTTGGGAAGGCACTTGCCTTCAGTGTCCAGGTGATGGAATAGAGAGATAAGGGACATGATTTGGATTTTTTTCTTTCTTGATTAGAACATGTA